AGAATGTTAAAACGGGTCCGAAGAGCATTTCAAGTATAATTTTGTCTTAACAAAATGCTATTAGCATATTTTTAATCTTTAAAGAAGTGAAATTCTAATGTAACCTACACTTTCCTAGGTCTTTTCAAAGGCAGCTGTTAGCTCAAATCAAAGCACTAGGTAAAGTGATTTTGCAAAGGTATTTATACAAAATTCAAATAGTGACATTAGCAGTGTAAAGTGTTTGTTAATGTAATCTTTTATTCTAATTTATTTCCAATAAATTTAAAATAAGACATACAGAAAAAAATCTCTATAATTTGATTTTGACATAAAATGTATGTCATTAAAATAAGATCCGTAAAATACTTAAGAAACTATGTGGCATATAGAACACTCTCCATAAATATTTTATGCATACTAAATAAACACATAAATACACACACATATATATACATACATATTTAAGGCATGAATAATTGTTTTTCAGGTTTTGCAACTGTTATAATATGGTTTCTCCAAATATTTCAGTTATTTTTCATCTGTTCTTTATATGTAAAGACATTACTGAAAAAAAATTGGCATCCTAAGAAGTATTCAAGGCCTGGGAACTGTTAGGTGATTTTCAGCACAGTGGTCTGGTTATTAGGATGATCATGTGGTAACAGGGATTAAACTGGAATCAGCCATACGCAGGACATATACCTTAAGCGAAAATTACCTCTCTGACCTCAGCCCAGTAAAATGTTAAAGTCTGAACTTAAATGGAAAATACAAATGTATTCTCTCTATCATTCTTTTCCTCACTATTCCTCTGTCTTCCAATCTTCTTCCGTAGGCTTATCCCTGTTCTGTCTCTTCTCACAGAGATGGTAGCATAGAAGGTGCAAAAAGGAAATAATTTGGCAGATATAGTCATTGCTATTCCTTAGTTTTAAAATACATCTGTTGGGGTCCTGGCCAGTCGACCATGGCAAACTGAAGTAAGAACCCCCAAAGTCGCCAGACTTACTCCCTAAAGGGGAAGGGGTATATAGGGAGAAGTCTCTGCCCTGGCCCTTCCCCCCCCCCCAGAAAGAAAGCCACAGAAGGGGGGGTGGAGTCTAGTGGTCAAGCAGTTCTCCGTTTATTGGCCCCTACCTAAGGGTTCTTATACACTGGGGTGGGGGGCAATCCCACGTACAGCATGCTTCTCTCACACAGCACACTTCTGATTTACATATCCTGCTCTTAGGGCCAGGTTATCATTATGGGTAGGTGGGCACAGTCATGTCCCTCATCCTCAACCAGAGTGCCTGCCTGTGGGGAGTGCTGGAGCAGACCCCCTGGGTCTTTGTGAACAGGGCCGGCTCTTGCTTCCAGGGGCAGAGGATTTGGTCAGTCTCGGGCTAGCTGCTGAGACCCCAACATACGCCCACATAGAGGTATTTTTTCACCTGCTTACAGTTTGGAGTTATTTAGGCCCCATCCACACCTCCTCTAATATCATTGGCGTTTACATGCCTATACAGAATACTATTTCACTTCATTCCTAAAATGAACTTGGTACTGCACTCTTTGAGTGAAAAAATAGAATCCCTGTAAGAAAGAAAACATTTTCAAACTCCAGACATTTCTGGGAAAGACCTAATTTGACATTTCTCTGGGGAAAAGAATTAGATAAAATAAAATGTTTCAGTGACTTTCTGATTAATTATTTGAATCAATGACTCATTTTTACCCTTGAATATCAATGAATATTGATAGTCCTTCAAGTCTAGTGCTTTAGCTAAGGAATCCTATAGCATCTTTCAATCATTTTTTTCTTACAGCTATCATTTTATTGCTAAATAATGCCATTGAGAACAAATCTTTAAAGTGGCCCACTGTAGGTCTTTTGTATTGTTTTAATTTTGTAGTACCACATTGAAATGGGATTAAAATAAATTACTGACACACAACCTCTACTATATCAGCAGGCCCACATTCAGGTTTCAGATCCTCTGCACATTCAACCTTCCAGATGAAGTTAATCTCCCAACTGGCTGACATCCACGGAGCCTTGAAGAAGATTCTTCTCCCTTCTACCTGGGTCTAGGTAGCCTCAACACTCATCCTCTGCAATTATAGCAAGCCCACACCCACATGTCAAACCCTCCCTTGCTTGTTCATTAATCCTTCACTGTCATATCCACATTCCATACCCTGATCTGTACTTGCCATTGCTTGTACCATGAAACCAGTACACTGACAGTTCTACTCACTGACTCTCACACTGCACAGTCACTGGGTGAAGATTGGCAGAGAAAGTAAAGGAAGACTGGCAGAGAAGGTAAAGTAAGACAATCAGCTTTATTTCTCATATACTTCCGTGGAGCATATGAATAGTATTGTGTGATATAAAAACTCAAGAGAGTATATGGAGCAATATTATAGCAAGTAGGCCTTTAGCCACGTACATGACTGACTAAGCAATCCATTTGGTACTCTGACACTGAGTACAGAATAAGAATTAAACCCTGAGCATCACTGGGTGTGACAACAAAACCCAAACAAACAAATCAAATTCTCAACAGAAGGCCCAAGTAGCAGGATTTAGCATCTGAGGAAAAGGTCCGTGAGCTCCAATATGAATTTCTGGAGATCTTATGAAACAGTTTTTTAAGATATGAAAAGAAATGAATAGAACACTAGAGCACCAAGGGATGAGTTCAAGTGAAACAATGTGGAATCATCAGAGTCACTGAGGAATAGGAAGGTGAATTTAGTCACCTTCAAAAAGAAAAAAAAAATTATAGATAAGAATTTCCCAGAGTGGAAGACTTCAGATACCCCACCTGGGTAATGCAAGAGGTCCAAAGGGTCTCAGCAAAAGCAGATTTAAATAAAAAACCTTCCAGACACATCATAAGAAGGATGATAAAGGTTAAGAAAGAGACAAAATATTGAAAACATGAAGATCGAGAAAGGAATGTTCATACAGAGGAACTCCAACAAGATCTATTTATAGCAAATCTATCCAGTAAGACTTCATAGGGTGGAAGAAAATGGAGGATTATAGTGAAAAAAAAAATTAGTGACCTGAACAGGTCACCAAAAATATTCTATCTGGCTAGACTTTCTTTTTTTTTTTCATTTCATCATCCTGTTATTCGTCGATTGCCTCGAGCAGGCCCCAGTAACGTCTCTTTCATCCTAACCCTAGTCAGGGTTAGACTTTCATACAGATTTGAATAAACAATAAAAAGTTTCATAGACAATGTCTTAAGGAATTCATAGCTCCTTTAAACCAGTTTTGCAAGAAGTTTCTTTAAAACACAAAACCAAAAAATATGCATAGTTTATGGAAAAAGTATGCCAACTTTTTTTACTTTGAAAATATAATACAAGACAATAGTGAAATTATAAGGGGGAATAGATGTCATTATGCATTTGTCAAAATCCACAAGATGTAAAAAACTGAGTAAACTAATGCAAAAGTGAACTGTATTTTTTAGGTGCAAAAACAAACATGGGGTATTTAAAAGATAAAAAATATAAATGGCAAGAAAATTAAATTGTGGGGAGGACATAATGTGTCACTAAAACTCTGCCAAAGGAAATGATAAATGGTAAGTCACTCTGAGATCATCTGGCAGTTACACAAAATTAAGCTATAGTCACATTTCTGAGATTTTATTACTCAAGCTTAAAACCATGTCTAAACAAAAACTTCAACCTCTAAGCTTGAATGTTCTGTGGGGCGAAAACCTTAAATTATTTTATATAGCACCTTTAACATAATGTTTATATGGCTTTCTTACGTTATGTTTGTTTCTGGTACAATATCCCACAAAAGTTCTTTCTACTGATTCTTTAAGTAGTAGTCATTTGAAACTACTTTTTTATGGTTGAGGTAAAATGGTTGGAATATCAAGATTATGGTACTGGTCTCATACTGCACACAGTGCTGATGACACCTCCCTTGTTTCTATGTTACCTCCAGTCCAATACCACTTTTATCTCACATTTTCTCATTATTTGTTGATAGACCATTATAGTTTAAGTGCATACCATTATCTATCTTAAGGACCATCCATGTTCAAGGAGAACTCTTAAGAAAAGTCCATTCTTGATGATCCCTTTTCAGTCACATTCAGTAGATTCTTGTATGAACAAGAAGAATTTCCCTTGACCCCTATCAGTCAAACTGTAGCTCAGTCTCTCCATCTTTACAATTTTCCAAATGAAACGTGCAGGCACTTTCTTCTCTACTTCATACCCTCATTTATAAATAGACAGTTTCAAACTGGAAAGTTCGTTCCTTGACTTACAATTGACACTGACTGCTTCCATCCTAATGGAGAACGAAGAACTTGACAGGAAGCAATTCTGTCTCTCTCTGTCTTGACAATAACTAGTCTTGACAAGTAACTGTCTCGACAGTAATTCTATCTCAAAACTCTAATTCCTATACAATTAATCTGGAGTTAGCCCTATTATCATGTTTGGCTTAAGTGTAGATGAAGGTTGGGCATTCAAAAAGTCTAATATTAAATCCTGCAGAGATAATCAATGTGTACACCTTTGTATATGTATTTGCAGGCATCTTGACACTACTATATTTAATTTGGTGACTTGAGTCCAATTTAAAGTATCAAGAGTCTCTTTTAGGCTTTCCATTACATACACAAATAATGTAATTCATGAAACTTGTGCAAGGAATCTTCATGTAGACATCTCAGAGGCAAATTCAATGAACTCTTTGATAATCTGCTTCAATAGTTACTTACAAATGACTTTAAAATTGATGTCAGTGGTAAAGATTGCTCAAGAAAGAACAAACCATCTATTTATCATTAAAAATTTTTAAAAATAGAAACATTATTTACATTTTCATACTCAGATAAAACTGTGCTTTACTGTGGAAAGATCAAAGTTTGGGGCCAGAGTCTATCAACAAAACGTTTGGAACTGAAGATTTGTCCTTTCCATAGATATTCAAACTCTTTATTGAATTCCCTTCAGATCATTATTTCTGAGCTATTAAAAAAATGATGAGGACGTAGCTGATTAAGCCGTAAGTGCTCTCTGCCCCCTGGGACCTGGTGTGCAGTGGCTGAAGAAAGCAAGCGGCTCTTCTGCAGTCCACACAGACTGTGGCTTGTGTGGACTGTTTCTAAAAAACCTCTGGAACATTCCACAGCAATGAACATTTATACTCTCATGCTGCTCCCAAATCAGGCTCCAAACAGCTGTTGGCGGTGGGGGCAAAGAGTGGAGGTTGTAAAATCCCAGAGCATGGTAGCCAACCTCCACACTGGACAAATCATGTCCACATGCACCAACTGCAGAGCAAGGAGACTGATTGAGTCTTTGCACCATGCCAAGTTCAAGTTCCCTGGCTATGGAAAATTCCACATTTCCATGAAGTGGGGCTTTACCAAGTGTAAGGCATATGATTTTGAAGGCATGTACAAAAAAGTGGCTCATCCCAAATGGCTGTGGGTTATGTAAAACCTAGATCATGGGGAACTGAACAAATGACTGGCACTGCACTTCTGAGAATCTCAGGGCTACTTCTGCCCCCAATGTCTGCTCCGAATTCCAGAGCACCAACCATAGTAAATCTGTCTTCTTCAAACAACAACAACAACAACAACAACAACAACAACAAAAACAACACAACTAGTCCTGGAACCTTTTCATGAGAATTACTTTATAAAAAAGAGAAATATGTGCCCCTTAATTTTTAAAAGTGTTTTGGTTGTCCTAAGTATACTTCCCCAAGATTTCCTAGAAATTAAAATACTTTTAAATTTAGCTGTTGCTTAAATTTCTTATGAAGACCATCACCTCTAATTGCAATTGCTCACATAATATTTAGTCTCTACATTAATAATTCATACTTATTCTGAATGGTTCCTACAGAGCACATCTTTAGTTTTCTACCATGTTATATTGGCATGACTATTACTTAGGCAAAAATCAATTACAGGGGCTGGAGAGATAGCACAGCAGGTAGGGCATTTGTCTTGCATGCGGCCAACCCGGGTTCGATTCCCAGCATCCCATATGGGCCCCTGAGCACTGTCAGGAGTAACTCCTGAGTGCAGAGTCAGGAGTAACCCCTGTGTATCGCCAGGTGTGACGCAAAAAGCAAAAAAAAAAATCAATTACATATATCTTTCCTGATATTTTTCTGAAATTTTTCATATTAGCTTATTTGATTTTAAAAGTTCACAATATCTCACATTCACATTATGGACATTTTAAAGGGCTTTTTTAATACATACAAGCAAGTGTGAAGATACTTTACCTTAACATTAATCTTGTTCTTATACAATTTTTTGTATTTAATTTTATTCTTGAAATCTTTATTTTTTCTGAATTATGCCTTATGTCACAGTAATTTAGAAATGGTATTATCATTAGTATTCCCTTGAGTAGCAATAAACAAAATTATATCATGTTAACACTTTTAATGAAGTTTGTGAGACATACACATTGTAAATTCTGTTTAACATGTTTAAGTGTTAATGGTATTAGTTCTACATTATAAATCTTTGTTATGACTTTCAACTAATAGTAGGAAGTAAAAAATTTTCTTTGTTGTTCCAATGGTATCTAAACTTGATTATCTTTTGAGTAATACTGAAATACTGAAAAAAACTTAGATTCCTATTTTTAGAATACATAAGTTAAAACAAACATCAGTAAGGTATATCTGATAAATTACTTGTCCACTTTATCTTAATTTACTTGAGAAAATTATAATCACTTATAATTTTAGAGTCAGATTGATTATCTTTATGCTTAGATTAATAACAATAGTTTATATTTAAATGTTGTGCACAAGTCACTGTCACTGTCCTCCCATTGTTCATTGATTTGCTCGAGCGAACCCAGTAACATTGTCAAACTTGTTGTTACTGTGTTTGGCATATCAAATATGTCACGGGTAGCTTGCCAGGCTCTCCGAGAGGGGCAGAGGAATTGAACCCGGGTCGGTCAGGTAGGCTGCTTGCAAAGTAAATGCCCTACCATTGTGCTATCGCTCCAGCCCAAGTATCCGTATAATAAAGATCCATTATGGTCTCTAGAACTGCATTTTAATATACATTCAATTTATGTGGATATTATGGTAATAGATTATGATTCAGTGGGTTTAGGCTAGGGCCAAAATTTTGTATTTATAAGAAGTTCCCTGGTGGTGTTCAGATTGGCCTTTGCTTACAAGGTCAAAAAAGTACTCATTCTATTTTTCTTTTTTTTATTCTTTAGTTTAAGGGCTGGAGCTATAGCACAGCGGGTAGGGCATTTGACCTGCACACGGCCAGCCCAGGTTCAATTCCACTATTCCTCTCGGAGAGCCTGGCAAGCTACCAAGAGTATCTTGCTCACATGGCAGAGCCTGGCAAGCTGCTGTGGTGTATTCAATATGCCAAACACAGTAACAACAAATCTCACAATGGAGATGATACTGGTGCTCACTCAAGCAAATTGATGAACAATGCACAGTGCTACAGTGCTACGGTGCTTTAGTTTAGATTTTATGATTACAATGTTGTTAATGTTTACAGTTTTGTATACTCAGTTACTGCATTTCACCACCATTGAAGAGCCCAAGACCTCACCACTCTCTTTTCCATACCCCAAGCTCCCCTAATTCCTTTCTCACAATTCTTTTTCCTTGTTTAAAAATGGTTTAAAATAATCCTGTCAATGAGGAAATAGAACCATATGCAAAATGGTGATAACACTATTGTTAGATATTGACTCTTCTATAACAGAGAGACAAGAAAGTATTATTCTATATAGAAATAACTATCCCCAAATGATATTTAAATATATTACTCTGAACAGTCTATTTTAAATCTCACAAATGAGTTGGCATGTGTCAATAATAAAGCTCGGAGTAGAACTAAAAATGTCAGGAAGAATTTTTATATCTGTTGCTTTCTCTTGAAGTTCGTGTTCTCCTTGAACATGTATCTGATATTTTTGTTCTCTACGTTTCTTTGCTTGTTTATTTCCCCTCTCGAGAAGCATATGTTTTCCCTTGAACACATTTCCTTCCTTGCTCTTCTCTCATCTTTCTAAGCAAGTTTCCTTCAATATAAACATACCTTGCTTCACTAAAAATATTTTAAAAAAAGAATTTTTGATATGTCATTCAAGTTATAAAAAGAAGAAAAGCTACTTTTAGAAAAAGCTTTAAAAAGATTTACAAAAGCATGAGACACAAATAAATCTAGATCTTCCTTAATGTCATCAACTGTGGGAAGATCTTCAGACAATGCTTTTTGATACTGTTTTTGTTGTTCAGATTTTTCTGTTTATTTTAGGATACTGTCTGCTAAAAACAGTGCCCTAAAGTACAGTGAAATTGATAGAACATCAAATTCCCTTTAAAAGGAAAGTGATAAGCTACAGGCAGGGAAAAGTTGAGAGACAGACAAAGAGAATTTAGGTAATCAGAGTAAAAATTGCAGCCTGATGGAATTCAAGAAGCAAGAACCTCATTGTATAAAATACTTGATGACTTTTTATAGTGTTATAGCATTCGGGTTTTATGTTGGATGATATTCACCCGGTGTCAGGCTGACCCTCTTTTTTCTTAAGAAGTTATCAGTTCTCTGTAGAAAAGTAATTCTGTGGCTGTCTTGCCAAAGCTGAACTCATGAATCAGTGATGTGGGCAGAGGTGGCATCCCAGATAGCATTCTGAAAAATCCATAAATTCTTTATGAAAGACTGTTTCTCTACTGCTGTCAGGTGCTATTATGCCTAAATCATGCAATTCTATTTGGAAACTCGAGGTGGTCTGCAAAACTGCCCTAAGGAGCTAAAAGAAGAGAAAACTATGAAACTAAAAGTGCCAAGGAGACAGGATATTTTATTATTGCAGAAAGGTCAAGTAGAAAGAAGCAGGGCATGTCTCTATTCAGTAACAGTTTAAACCACAATTTAATTTAAACCTATGGTTGCATTACGTTGTCAATGAGATGTGAAATCTTAGGATCAATGAACAATATGGTCAAAGTAGAATTTTAAGAATCACTAAACAAAGGGCCTCCAACTAGAAAAAAAGTAATGAGGTAATGATATTAAAGAGTTCCAATATTCTGAAGAACAAAATAGCAAGTACGCACAGAACTAGACGAACTAGACGAACTTGTTCAATATAACTAAATACTTAGTCCACAGTTTATGCAATGTGACATACTCTATTGTTAAATTACATAAAGGATTTATTACAATACAACCTTATATGATTGGCGTTTAGCCTAGTCATAGGCACTCAATAGCTGGAAAATATTTCAACTAAATTAAGAATAAATGGCAAGTTTAATTATAGTATTGGTTATTTTTAGTAAGAGAATTTAGTAATATAATGAAGATGAAATATTTGTTCTTTTTCCTTTTACCTACCTTTCACATAGATAAAGTTTTCTTCTAGTTTTGATGGTGCACAAGTAGTTCTCCTCTAAAATGCCTCAAAGAATCAAAAAGTCCCCTAAAACTAAGCATATTAGTATCTAATTTAATAATCTGTGATTAATTTCTAAATATTATACAAAGAGGCTACAAACTCAGTTATGGTCAAATTTTTGCAAGTATAATATTAATAAATTATCTCTTATTTTATTTTTCTTAGTTTTGGTAAAATAACCATATTTTGATGGCGATCAGATTATGATAAAACTAATATTACTAAATAGTGATATAGATACGTCTCATGTTATGGAACCTAAAGCCATAAAGAATATCAGAAAGTGGTCAATTTAAAAAAAAAAAAACAATGAAGCTATATATTAGGAGGTACTAAAGTCTTGTAAGCATTCAGGAACTTTAAAAGCTAATCTAAATAAATATAAATAGAATTTTGAACAAAAAAATAAAATTCTATTTATCAATGAAATTAAGTGGAATATTTGCATTTACTTGAAGAAGAAAAAGAAATTACATAATATCATCACTATTTAAAAAACCTGAGGGTAGGTGTGAACACTGCAATAACATTAAAATATTGTTTTTATTGCTGTTGCAGTTGTAGTATGTTCTAATAATGTTAATGCTTATGGTCTTGATGCACAACGACCAGATCTTATTGCCACAAAAGTGGCCAATATTCTATACCACTGTCCTTCATTACTCTGAGTCCACCTCTTTCATGATGCTACCTTGGTAATCTTAGT